GTCTGTGTGCGTTCGTACTGCAGGCAGCCTTCGTTCTTCTCGATCTGAGCCTGGCAGCTCGGGCAGCGTTTGGAGATGAGCTTGGCGAGGTGTTTGCTCTGAGCCTCCATGCTCATCCCTTCGTAGTAACCGCCGTCGTCCATCCACTGGGACATGTGACTGCAGCTCGCTGGGTAGTGTGCCTGCAGGAGGGGGGGGGTCGCATGTTTACACACCTGCCTTTGAACAGTTTAACGCAGCAGCGGTCACATGGAGGTGACTCCAACACACAGACTGTATAGAGAAGATGGACATGCACCCACTGGTTTCTGTGTAAGATCACCTGACTATGGAGCCGCTCACTCATTGGCTAACGGGATTTGACTGACAAGGATGCTCTGCATAACCTTCATGTTTTATTCAGACCTGGAAGGACCAGATCAGGTGACCAGGAGACTTTAGCCAATCAGACGTCAGGGGAGTTGCCCCCTGCTTGACACCAGGCAGAATGCAGGTTTAGGCCATCTTTTTATACAGTCTGTGGGAACTCCAGCTTCACCTATGAACTGAAAGCATGTAAGGTGACCTCTGACCTCGGGGAAGTTGCAGCTGAAGCAGGAGGACCAGCAGCACTTGGAGCAGGTCGCCATGCTGCCCGTGTTCTCCTTGCAGAGGATCTGATCGCAGCCCTGAGGGTTGGTGCACCACGTCAGGTTGGAGCAGCACTCCACGTAGCCTCTGAGCAGGGCGTTCTCATACTGCGGAGAAGGAGGAGCTTAACACCCATAGACGGGACGGTCAAACCTGAGGGTGGTCAGGTGGTGTGTTACCTTGGCGATGGTGTCCTTGTCAGTGAGGACGCTGAGGAAGAACTGGGAGGTGGGCTGAGCCTGGCAGTCTGTGATTGGACAGTTGCAGTTCATGATCAGGTTCTGCTCGATCCTCGCCGTCAGGTACTCCTGCCAGCACGACTGCACGACACACACACAGTCAGACTCACGCCACGCCCACAGCAAACATCAAGAACAGAGCGGCGCTGACCTTGCAGCAGTAGTGCATGCAGCTCAGCGAAGGCACCAGCTCCATGCCGCAGCTCCACGGGCTCAGGCACACTGGGCAGGTGGAGGCGGGGCTCGGCGGCGTCTGAGGGTTCAGGAACTTGAGTCCGGCGGCCACGATGATGGCGTCAGGGTCGTCGGTGTACCGCTGCACCAGCAGGTCCACGTTCCACTTGCAGTGAATGAGGAGGTGCTCGGCCCGGTCCAGGTCCAGACTCAGCGTCCCCGCAACCTGAGAGGACAGAGAGGTCATCTAACGCACCTGAGGGGGTGGAGACTCCGCCCCGTGAACCCCTGACCTCACATACGCCTATGCAGCATCTCACCTGCTGAACCGTCCTCTGCATCAGCTGACGAACTTCATCCTGCGTCATCGTGCGACCCATCGAGAACAGAACGGTATCAAGAACGCCATCCTCGAACCGCCGCGGCACAGGCACCAGACTGCAACACACACACAGCTGAAACACTCACACACTGCAGGACTCTTTCATAATCAATGAATACGATTAGTTTTAGTTAAAGTATCAGACTCTCCAAACTGGTGCTTTTACTTTGAAAACTCACCTGGTTTAATACAGGTAACACTGACTCACTGCCCCCTCCTGTGGCACACAGCGGTATTGCACCTCGCTCACATCGGTGTTTAACTTTCAATCTTAGTTCAGTTTTTATTTCACAGTGAAGAAAACTGGGAGTCGTTTCATTGAATGACTAACAAACAGACCAGTTAACAGATGACACGAGACAGCGCCCCCTGCAGACCCGTCTGTCAAATTTACACTGTTTAAAAACGTTTGTGAAAGTCTCCGTCTCTGATGGCTCTTTGTAAACAGTACGACTGCTTGTGTAACCTGTGCTGGGACAGGAGTGTGCGCCTCCACCGACTGCACGGCGGTGTGTGTGATACCTGTATTCAGCATGTTTTGTCTCATTGCTTTCGCCCTCACCGACTCTCACGGTCAGAGGAACGTGGAAATGACCCACGGCCTGACAGCAGCAGCGTCTGTCCATCGTTTCATTCTGCCGCCTCTCTCGTTCGCGGCGCTGTCAACCGTGAGGGCCGAACCGGAACACGTGCAGCTGATAAACAGCTGAAACCAGCCGCTGCAGGAGAGCAGCTCAGGTCCCGATGACCTCACAGTTTAACGTGGACGTGAAGCGCTACACGCAAAGCCTCATTTACCCCACGGAGCCCCGCCCTCAGACACTGACGCAGGCGCAACTCTGTCTGTGAACCTGGGTTAAAGAACAGCTTCAAGACATCATAATGCGCCAACCTGACAGGCGATGGCGCTACGCCTGTGTTTAAACCCGGGTCCACAGCCAGCGTTACAGCTGTGAGAGCCTGAGGGCGGGGCTGCGTGTAGCGTTTCTCTTTAATCCAACGATGGCGTGCACGCACAGAGACGAGCTCTGAAGAATCACTGCAGCTCAGTTTGATCCTCATCAGTTTATTTGTCAGGTTTGCTCGTTAATCAGCATTTAAATCAGAACAAACAAAATCATGTGATGACCTTTGACATCATCAGATGTCAAAGGTCAAACAATATTTACAACATCGTGTCTGATCCGTTTCAGCAGCTTCGTTTCACAGACGTCCAATTTCTGATCGATCAAAATCAATCGAAATTGACAGCAGTCGAGTCTGTGGCCTCGTTTGAGGCTGGCAGACCGCCACAAGCCCCGCCCTTTTCTACAACTGCATTCCTATTGGATGATAATAAAGACAAAGTGCTATAAAAAAAAGCTGACGTGAGTGAAAATAAAGTCAAAGAAGAAGAAACGAGAATTCTTCTGGTTCAGAAACGCCGTCTGTAAAACAAAGCGCTCTCCTGGCTAAGCAGGGCGGGGCTTAGCTGAGACCGACAGACTGAACCCACGTGTGAAGTCAGAGGTCGCGGTCACACCTGATGTCGGCCCGGCTGTCGGAGGCGGCGTCCTTCCCGACGTCGGCCCGGCTGAAGGAGAACTGGGCCTGGCCCTTCTGCGGCGTGGACGGGTCCTCGGGGACGAACTCCACGATGTGCGGGTTCTCGTCGTTGCGGCGGATGCAGCCCTTGCTGATGACGTGCATGATGCAGGACAGGACGTCGCTGGTGCTGCAGCTGAAACGGCCCGAGCCCGGCGAGCGCGACGCCTCCTGCTTCTGACACGAGTCCAGCACCTGAAAGAGCGGCGCAGGTCAGAGCCTTGACATGCCGCCACGGGCTTTTATTTTGAAGGACGCAGGCGACCTCTGACCTTGAAGACGAGGTTGTCGATATGCATCTCCTTCTCCTGCTTCATGATGTGGACGATCAGGCAGTAGATGTAGTTCCTCTTCCTCTCCAGCGTGCCCGCCGCGTCCTCGTCCACGTTCAGATACGTCTGTTTGGGCAGCAGCCACACGGACGCCGGCGCGCCCTCCTGGCTGCGAGACGCCACCTGCTCGTTCAGCTGCAGCACACCTGATGCAAAGAGATGCAAAGTCAGAAAAGACGGACAGCGGTGCCGACACGCGCCGTGTGCGTTTGTGAGGCGGGTCTGACCTCGGGCGGGGTCGTCCGGGTGGCTGCAGGACAGCGGCCCGCCCTCGCCGATGAGAGGCAGCAGAGCGTGCAGCAGCACGGAGGCGGAGAGGCCGCTTGCCTGCAGCAGAGCGTCAACGCGAACCTCCTGCAGACCCACAGAAACACAAACATCAAACTACGCACTCACTCCTCCAACGCCACAAACGCGGCAGGCAGCGAGACGGCGAGGAGCTACCTGCTGGCTGTTGAACTGCAGCAGCACGAACATCTGCAGCGTGGAGACGTGCAGCGTCCAGCCGCCCAGCTGCAGCTCGGCGTGCCCGAGCCACGTCCACTGCAGCCGCCGAGGCTTGGAGTGGCTCAGACCGTATATGGACTGACCTGCAGACAGGAAGTAAGTTAGCGTGAGGTGGTTGCTGTTGGAAACAGGGGTGCCGATGTGGGTGGAGGTGCTCACTGTGGGTGTAGAACTGGGTGAACTGGTTCAGGTAGGAGCAGAGCTCCGGGGGGAGGTGCTTCGCCGGCTCGTCCAGGAAGCAGAGTGAAGAGACGGCCCAGCAGCGCGGCGACAGAACCAGCACCTGGACCTCCGCCTCCTCCTCCAACTCCGCCCACTCCTCCTCCATCACCTGCAGAAACAAGGACACACGATGAGACCCCGCAGGCAGCGACGGGTACCTGGGGGCGGGGCAGACGTGCGACCTGGTCGTGCTCCTGCAGGCTGCGGTCCAGCTGCTGCAGCCGGTACAGGTGGAACTCCTGCTGCAGCTCGGACGACTCGCTCAGGTTCTTCAGCATCTGCTGCGGGAAGCGGCTCGGGAAGCAGCTGCCGATCTGCTCCGCCACGGCGTGCTCCAGCCACACGTTGCCCTGAGCCAGCAGCCGGTCGCCCAGGTAGTACCTGCGCAGAGCGAGAGAGCGTTAGAGACGCGGGACGCTGGGCGCAGCGCGGCGCTCGTGTGATCGCACCTGTAGAAGTGCTCGAAGGTGCTGGCGAGCTCCAGGCCTGACAGGAAGAGCATCGGCTCCAGGAACTGCTGCAGCCGCTCCAGAGTCTCCACGCAGCCGGACGCCATGCCGCTCGCCTGGATCATCTGATCGATGTACTGAGCGAAGCGCTCGCTCACCTGCGTGCAGCAAACACAACAACGTCACACGAGAACACAAGAGCGTGGACGGACGGCGGCGCAGGCACTCACGTGCATCGCTCTGAGGATGGAGAGCTGCAACAGGGCGGCGGAGAAACCGTGCCGCAGGGCAAGGACGAAGGCGGTCTGCTGGCCAAACAGCTCCTCCATGGCGTTCTTCAGCCGAAGGTAGAGCCGCCGATATCGCTCCACGAAGTCCGGCAGAGTGCAGCTCGCCTCCAGGAACTTCTTCACCTGAGGGGGAGGAGTCACGTTTAGCTCATCAGCATCTAAACCCTCAAACAGGAAACATTGAACAGCTGACTCACCTGGCGTTGTACCACTCCCTGCCAACAGAGGGCGATGCCCGCGATGCTGCTGCTGCTCTTCACTTTGGGTTTGGCTGAGGACGAGGAGGAGGAGGAGGTGGAGGCGGCGGCGGACGCCTCTTTGTTCTTCCCTTCTTTACCATCTGCAAGAAGACGACATGTCAGACGTCGCGTTTGGGGAGCGCACGCTCGCCGGCGGTGAGTGGCGGGGAGGTGAGATGAGAGCGCGGCAGCCACAAACGAAAAGTGAAGCCGAGCGTCGGTCCTTCTTTTCCCACTGAAAAGAAACCGCGTCAGGGACGGCGATGGGAACAGGAAGTAAACAAAGAGCGGCCCAACTGAAGGAAACGAGATGGAGGACAGGCTCGTCTGAAGGAAGCCGAATGTTTCAGTCGGTTCAGATGAGGAAGGGCGCCGGGCGCCGCCTGCTGGAGGCGTTTCTAACAATAACGGGTGCTTTTGGGCTGCCTGTCAGACTCCTCCCCCAGCATCAGCAGCTACACACATGTTTCAGCAGCCAGCAGGGGGCGACACCAGCTTCCTGCCCTCATGTGGACGCATGAAATGTCAAAGCGTAAAAACCAAACTAACAGGGTCCGACTGCAGCGCCGCCGCCCTCTCAGGCATGTTTTAGTCGCCTCTGCTGGTGAGGAGGGGGTACTGCACCAAGACAGAGCGCCACCGTTTAAAAACCGAAGGGTTCACTTTAAAGCCAACTCACAAACAACAAGCTTCAGCTCCTCTCAGTATGTTCTGATCTGACGGCCAAACGGCGATTGTTCAACGCCGCGAGTCTTTGATGTTTCTTTGAGGTTTCAAACAGCAGACGTGTAACTTCAATGCAAATATTTCATCCATTCGTAACAGCTGTTCACACCGAACGCGTCACTGTGCACAACGAAGCTGTGGCAGTTATTTTAAGGTCGATGTTTCAGATACGTATAAACACATCGGATTGGTGCTCCAAACGCACGCCGGTGCTGAAGACAAACAGTGAAACCGACCCGTTTACCTGAGACGCTCACCTACACCTGCTCAGTGTCACTCAGGTGCCAACAGGAGCTCAAACTGCTGACATCCTAAACGCCTAAAACCATCACGAACACATTAAGTGAAACAGCTGCAGGATCAGACCAGGAACTCCTCACGGCTGCTGCATGAACCCAGAATCTGTTTCTTCCTTTTCTGGTGCAGTAAAGTTGCGACCAGCTCGTCATCGCTTCAAGTCGATTCCTATTTTTGTTTCTGACGACGCGCTCGGCGAGTGCAGGTCACATGTCGATTTCATGCAACAGGTTCAGTGTGACGGGCTGGAGGTTCCCGACACGCTGAAGTCTTTAACCCTCTGGGTCCAGCGTGTAATTGGCTGTTTTTGACTACTTTTGATTCTGCCGCTATCTCACCTTTAAAAACTTTATCTCGCCTTGTTTGGTTATTTTTTGGTTATATTTCATTATTTTCAGCACCAGCTCAGATATTTTTGAGATTATTTTTTCATTGTGACTGTATTAGCACAGTTGATCTAAATTCAGACAAAAAATCAGAGTAGAAAAGTTATATTTGACTGTAAAACCCACAAACACGTTTAACGAATCATTTTCATAACTTGAAATGCAAATAGAAATTATACATTTCTAAAAATTACGCACAAGTTTTGCAAACAAAGTTATTTGGTACCATTTACCTAAAAATGCAGCCGAGGCCTCAATAACCATTTACATCTATTTACAGAACAATCAGCTGTGCTGCATCAAATAAGACGACACACACATTATTTGTGTCCTAAAACTAGTCTGTGTTCAGTGTAAGAGGAGAACAGCTCAGGTCAACCTGCAGTCTGACAGCAGCAGCATCAGTCCAGCTTCAGCTGGAATCTGCCTTTGACGGCTTTGTTGGAGCAAATGTGACATTCAGCAGTTTAACTGACACACAAAACAACACAATGACTACACAACACATTAACTGCAGCCTCCAACACGCTGAACGTCACTAATCATTTTTTGATTGGCTGACATGGTAAACTAACACTAACAGGGAAGGGCTGTTTGTTCTGTTTGCGAGCGCGGTCCGTGAAAACGCCATTTTTGACGTTCTTCCCGCTGTAAACTGTTTGTTCAGATAAAAACATGGCGTGTTTGTTATCATAACTCTGGTTTTACGCGGCGCATCGACACAAATCAAAAACTGGTATAAAGTTTGACGTCTGCACTTCGACCCAAGTTGAAACGGAGACTCAGAGTCGCTTAAGTCGTCTTAAATTGGTCATGTGATTCTGACGCACCGGCGTGTCCGTCGACCCCAGAGGGTTAAGCTCCGCCCAGTCATCAGCTCTGTGTGATGTTTGAATGCCGACAATGAGAACTAACAGGACG